CTACATGGTCCCTTCTCTGTGAAGCCTCTGCTCTCTTGTCCCACTTTCCCATTCTCTAAGGGTGGTTTTGTTCATTTCTTCCATACAGAGGATTGAACTCACGGTCTTGTACATGCCATGTAAATATGTGACTACTGAATTACATCCCCAGCCATTTTATTTTATTTTGCATTTTATTTTGAGACAAGTTTCAGTGGGCTGGGCTTAAACTCAAGATCCTCCTGCCTCAGCCTCTGGAGTAGCTAGGATTACAATCATGTGCCGTTGTGCCCTGCTTCCTGTAAGTTTTTATAGGGCCCTAGAATTTAGATCTTTGATTCCATAATATTTTGAGTAAGGGAATGGGGCAGGGGGTATTGTTTCCATTAGTGTGGGACACCACTCGGTGGTGTGGGAAGCTGAAGAGATGAAAGTATTCAGTTTTCTCACAAAACTAAAAAGTCTTCAAGGGACCCGATTAGGACATTAAAATCTTCCAATTTAACAGCAAAGTGCTAAGGGGCAATGCAGAGAGAGCCCAGGGAGCCTTCCTTCAGGCTCTCACATGTCCCACAACCTCCTGGTCACACGGTGCAGTCCACCCACCCTCCTAAACATCTGTCCTGCTCGGCCACTCCTCCCTTTAGTCCCTGGGTCTGCAGTGCTCCAACCCAGAGCACAGCTACACCCTCCCAATGGCATCCTCTTATGACCTTCTCTGCAGGTTCACTTTGTTGCTGTTGGATTATTAAAAATCAGCTTTGTGGAGATACATTTAACATGCTATCCAACTCACCCACTGAAAAGGCACAATTCATAGACACTTTTTGAAAGAAGACATACAAGTGGCCAATGAGTATATGAAAGAAAGCTCCACATCTTCAGCCATCTCACCCCAGTCAGCATGGCTATCGTCAAGAATACAGACAACAATCAGTGCTGTAGAGGATGTGGAGGAAAGGGAACACTTTTACAGTGTTGGAGGGGAATTAATTAGTATAGTCGCTATGGGAATCGATATGGAAGTTCCTCAAAAAACTAAAAAGAGAGCAACCATCGGATCTAGCTATGCCATTCCTCGATATATTTCTTAAGTCATTAAAATAGCCGTGCTATGGAGACACCTGTACACCCATGTTTATTGCAGCCTAATTCACAAAAGCTAAGCTAGATGTCCAACAGATGAATGAATAAAGAAAACACGGTATCTATACACTGTGACAGTTAAGCTTCATTGTCAACTCAACGATATTAAGAGATTCGAGGAGAGATGAACACTGGTCAGAGGTGAGGTCCAGATGGAAGGAAGTCTTTGAGGGTGCACCTTCAGGGTGTGCATTTCTCCACCGTGTTCTTCCTTCATTTACTATGCTTCCCTGCCACCATGAGCGCCTTTGCCCCTCTATATGCCATCATGATGGATGTTCCTGCCTTAGAGCCAGCCAACCATGGACTGAATCCTCTGAAACTGTGAGCAAAAGTAAATCCCTCTTCCTTTTAGTTGTGTATGCGGAGTAATAAGTCCCAGCAGTGAAAAGGCGACCAATACATCACAATGCAATATTGTTCAGCTGTACAGAACAACATGGTGTCGTTTGCACTTAAATGGATGTCTTCTTCTGGGTTAAGTAAAATAAGTCAGACTCAGAAAATCAAGTATCACATGGTTTCTCTCATATGAGGGAAGCAGGAGGAAAGAAGAGACAACACATGAAAGTGGAAGGAAGACTATTAGGAAAGAGGAAGGGGATCAGAGGGAGAGGGGGAGGAAAAGGGAGGTAATGGGATTGGATGACCGAAGTATGGTGTATATGCACATATGAATATGTCAAAATAACGCTCACTAGTCTGTATAACTACAATGATAAATGATAAAATGCACAACTCTGTCTTTTGGTATACTACATTAATTTTTAATGTCTCAATGAATGTATATGACATAAAATTTGCCATTTTAGCCACTTTTCATTGTGCAGTTCAGTGGCCATAATTACATTCCGCACGTGCAACCATCACCACTACTTCCAGAACCTTTGCATCCTCCCCAAAGTAAAGCAGTATTTATTATGCAATAACTCTCCGTCCCACTCCCTCCAGCTTTTCTGTGTGTACCCTCCAGCCTGCATTTTTTGGCTATGAATTTGCCTAGTCTCAGTGTTTCACGTAAGTGAACTCATACACGATTTGTCCTTTTTTGTCTGGCTTATTTCTTTTAGCATAGTGCCTTGAAGGTTCACTCACATCATGGTTTGTACCAAAAATTCGTTCTCAGCTACTGATGGACGCTTAGGTCGATTCCACCAATTGGTTACTGTGAACAGTGTTGCAGTAAAATGCCAATGTGCACCTAGCTGCTTGAGTGTCTGCTTTTGATCCCTGGGTAGGGCGGTATATACTTCCTGGACCCACTTCTGATGTCTCCAGTCCACTTGCACCCACACCCACAATAACCCTCCCCTTCCCCTTTCCTCCTCCTCCTCCACTGCCTTCTCTCTCTCTCCCCTCCCACTTCTCTTTCTTCTTCCCGGGAATGCTGGGAATCAAACTCTAGGCTTCAATCATTTGCTGGGCAAAAGCTTTACCCAGTCACATCACTCCTCTGCTTATACTTTGCCAAGGTTTGATAAAAATACCCACTAAGCCAAGCAATCTGGATAAAGATGGAAGTGTTCCACGAGGTCACCAGGGTCCTGAGCTTGCACCTGCCAGACTGTCCAAGTCACTTTGCCCTCTCTGGCCTCTCCCAGCCTGCTCAGCTGTCTCTCCATCCTTCTACTGAGCCGTGTTCCCCTTGGATTTCAACACGCTGGTCCCTTTTGCGAAAATCTTCCCCAAACACTTAACTTTTGCTCTTCTCGGCCAACTCTCCCCACCTTTCTCATCCGTCTTGCTGTACTATTTTCCCTAACATCCACCTTCCTGCCTGTTACTATTACCCCTGTGCCCCCCGCCCCCCGTCTTTCCCAAAGCTTTGGGTTCAGTGTCTGCCTTCCCTCCTGTAACAATGACTAATACTGGCTGAAGGCTTACTGTGTTCCAGGCCCTGTTTTATGCACATCCCCAGGTCAGTTTATTAACTCCTTGCAGGAAGCCTGTGGACCTTACAGAAAAGGATGCCTGGGCAGCAATCTCAGTGACAGCAACCAGCTGGCAACCAGAGGGCCCCAGACCCACAGCCCAGTGCTGCTGGTCCCCAGCCTTCAGACAGCGTGCTTCCTCGCTCGGGTGGCATCCCCAGCCCCTACCACAGATCAGGGCTTACGATGGTCTCCAAAACACCTCCAAACGGGATGACTCATTGAACAGAATAGAGAGGGCAAGAGGGACCTTAGTTTTGAACAAACTTTACCTTGTGGCTTCTGCGTGTTAAGCATCCTAACCTACCCGCCAGCCTCAGTTTCCCTCACCTAAGAAGTGCGCATTAATATCCCTGTCCCGGGGATATCGAGAAGGCTGGGCTTTACTTTAATGTGGATTTTAAAAATCACTGTACTTGGAGGACTGGGACCAAGACTCACATTTGGCATTTGTCACCCGGTCCTCAGACAGGGAAGGGACTGGGAACCCCAAGCGGTAGACCCGGGTCCTGTGGGAGTACTGTAGGGCCCCCAAGGTCTCCCGCCCCTCCA